CACAGCTCCTGCCTGCACTCACTGGATGATAATTAAGCCCCAACATTATATATTCTGACTCCTCGCCTCTGAAACTAAAAAAATCTCCACTTCAGCAGGTAATGAAGACTCTGGGAGGGCTCTGCAGGCCGCTTGTGTGTCCCGTAAAATGTCCCACTGAGACATATCTGCATAATATTCAGCCATTTTAGCAGAAATGCGGATTTACTGTACGGGGTTTTCAAGGTTCCGCCTCACCTGGAGCTGAGGGACGAGTGGCGTTTTTTAAGATTTTGATGTTTTTCTCTACTGAAGCAGTTGTAGAGATTAAAAAAAAAAAAAAAACCCATGAAGGACATTTGGGGTAAAAGACGAAGCAGCAGGGGGGAGATGGTCCTGCTGTTGTGTAACCACCTCCAGAGACTGACCCCCTGCCCTGCTGCAGCTTTACATAACCGCCCTGCTGAARAGAACCGGGTCGGGCCAAAACTGATCCAGGTGGGGTTCAGTGTCCCGACAGGTGCTCTCTGTTTGACCTCGTGCTTCTGCTCCAGCAGCACTTTCCGGCCCGTTGGTTCATGGATGGATGATGGATGTAAAGTGCTTCTGCAGAGACGTTTGGGACGATTGTCTCTATTGAATATTGTCCTGTAGGAACAGCTTCATGAGACAAACTCATGCAGTGCAGTGATCATCACTGTCTAACCCAGGTGTCTGCATCAGTGTGTGCTACTTAAAATATATTGGTTTACGATTTATTGTCCTTTGCAATATTGATTTTGCACTCATTGTTATTGCAGTGCCTGTAAATTCTCAGCATCTTACGCAGCTGTGGTTTTCAGTCATTCTGCTTATTGTTTCTTTATGAATACAGTAAGTGGTGGTTAGGTTCTCAAAGACCCTGTCTTTGTACAGCTTGTGGTCACTGTTAGGTTAATTGATAACTCTAAATTGTCCCTAGGTGTGAGTGAGAGAGTGAATGGTTGTTTGTCTAGTTTGTCTCTATGTGTGGCCCTGTGATGGACTTGCGACCTGTCCAGGGTGTACCCCGCCCCTTGCACTGTGACTGCTGGATATGGGCACCAGTGACCCACGCGACCCTGAAAAGGAAGAAGCGTGTACAGAAAATGGATGGATGGATGGATGTTGTGTTTTTGGTCATTTCTTTACATCCTGTCCTTTTCCCCCACATTTTTGTTCCTTGAATGTTATTTAGTAGCTGTTTCACAGGTTTGCATCAGTTTTTAGCTGGCCAAACCTTTGCACCCCACTACGTTTGCATCGGCCCTGTGTTTTAATATTGTCGTGACACACCAACTGTTGCCCACCCCACCCTTCCTCTTTTCTTGATTAGTTTATTTCTCCATCATATTTAAACAAGCCAGAGAAGAACGAGGTCTGTTTTCTTTGTGATGAGCCCATAAGCATGCATGTGTGTGTTTGTGTGTGTGCCTTCATGCAGAGGAACCTCCAGTCCAGAGCTGTAGTAGCAGCTGTTGTTAGTGGGACAGCAGCCAGGTGACCAGGGTGCATGCTGGGACGGCAGAAAGCAGAGCCAAACGTTTGATTCATGTGAATCTGAATCTGTGCAAGTCTGCATGTTGCATCGCCGTCGTCCGGCTGGCACAGAGTCCGTCCTGCAGGGTGATGGAAGTGGCTGTGTGTGTGTGTGTGTGTGTGCACAAGTCTGACAGGAGGACTCACTCTCAGATGAGACAAACACACACTCAGGACCATTATTACACAGGATACAGGCCGCAGGCGACAACTGGTCCAACAGGGATCATCTCACAGCTTGAGAGGTGGTTTCTTACCTATAAAATGATCATTTATGCATCAAAAAGGGTAAAACATCAGTTTCATTAAGGCTTTGTGTGAAATGGAAATAAAAGCAAAATGCAACTCATGTAAATATCAAAAGTTTAAACTAAAAATGTGTATATTTTTAACTATATACATCCATGTTTCCTCTCTAACTGTAAACATCCAGGACCTGAGGAGACCAGTTCTGGAGGTTTTGACAGGAATGTTGTCCTGGTCTGGTCTGACGGAGGACTCTACAGTCCTGGATCAGAGGTCTGCAAAACCCTTTTCTTTTTTCTGTGGTAGTGCATGTTCTATGAAGTTTGGATATTATTTGAAGTAAAAAAAAAAGAAAAAAAAGAAATCTCAGTCAGTGTTTGTTGGCGGTCCTCTCCAGGCTGCGTCCCTCTGCAGACACCCCTGAGCTCTTCTCCGGGGTCCTTCGGTTTGCAGCTTCTGCACCTCTGCACCGTGGCATCAGTATTCCAGAGCCGTCTGTGGACACAGCGTTCCCTGAGCTGATGGAGGCAGCAGCAGCAGCTTCCCCCATGGCACCACCAGAGGGCGGAGCACCGCGCTCCCTTTTCCTCCTGCATCCAGGAGCATCACAGTGTTCCTGTTGCTCCGATTCCTCCTCTTTAACTGGCCTGTGTTCTGAGCTGGATGATTTGTTAAAAAAGCAGCGACTGACTTTAATTTACCCTCTGTGTTTGATTTAAATGTGCTGTTTCTTTCTCCACCAGTGTGTTTTTGCTTTTTACGCTGGACTGGATTTGGAGTTGCAGCATCTCTGTCCCAGAACACGGTCCAGTAAGGTCACAGAGAGGACGTGGTCCAGTTCGGTGTGAGGTTAACCTTACAGCCTGCCAACAACCAGACTCTGTGTTTGCTTTGAAAAATCTGAGCCAAAGGAGCCGAGGTGGCCTCGTCTCCTTACCGCCTCCTCTGG